TCCGTGTTGTTGCAAATAGCAAGATTTCATTGTTTCTGTATGGTTGAGTAATATTCTGTTGTGTACGTACCACATCTTTATCCTTTCATCTACCAGCGGAATCTTAGGTCGCTGCTATATCTTGGCTGTTGTAAATTAAGCTGCAATAAAAACAGGGCTGTATGTATCTTTCAGAATTAATGTTGTCTTCTTTGGGTAAATTCCCAGAAGTGGAATTACTGGGTTGTATTTCTGTTTTTATCATGAGAAACCCCCATACTGCTTTCCGTAGTGGCTGCACCAATTTGCGGTCCCGCCAGCAGTGTTCAAGAACCTCCTTTTCGCTCACCCTCACCAACACTTGTTACTTCTTTGCTCTTTGTTTTTTTTAATATTGGCCATTCTAACTGGTGTGAGATGATATCTCACTGGTTTTGATCTGCATTTCTCTGAGGATTGTTGATATTGAGCATCTTTTCATGTGTCTGTTGACCATCTGCATGGCCTCTTTTGTTTTGTATCAAGATACATAAAATGCACAAATCTTAGTGTACAGCTTGATGAATTCTAAAGTGTGTACATTCATGTAACCTGCTGGATCAATTGTGTGTCTTCTTTGGAAAAATGTCTATTCAGGTCCTCTACCCATTTTTAAACCAGATTATTTGGGTGTTTTTTTGATGTTGGGTTGTATTAGTTCTCTATATGTTTGGGATATTAGCCCCTTATTGGATACATCACTTGAAAATATCTTTTCCCATTCACCAGGCTGCCTTTTTGTTTTGCTGATGGTTTCCTTTGCTGCATAGAAGCTTTTTGGTTTGATGTAGTCCCACTTACTTATTTTTTTTTTCTTTTGTTTCCCTTGCCTGGGAGACATGTCCAGAAAAAAATTACTAATGCTGATGTTCAAGAGTTTATTGCCTATGTTTTCTACTAGTTTTATGGTTTCAGGTCTTTAACCCATTTTGAGTATATTTTTGAGTATGGTGTAAGAGAATGATGTAATTCATTCTTTTGCATGTAGCTGTCGGTTTTTCCAACACCATTTATTGAAGAGACTGTCTTTTTCCCATCGTATATGCTTGCCTCCTTTTTCATAGCTTAATTGACTCTAAGTGTGGGATTATTTCTGGGCTCTCTCCATTCTGTTCTATCGATCTAGGGGTCTGTTCTAAAGGGAACAGTACTATACTGGAAATTGATCACTACAGTTGTAGAGTATAATTTGAAATCAGGGAGCATGATTTTTCCAGCTTTGTTCTTCTTTCCCAAAGTTGCTTTGGTCATCTGGAGTCTTCTGTGGTTCCATACAAATTGTAGGGTTATTTGCTCTCGCTCTGTATTCTGGTAGGGATTGCATTGAATCTGCACATTGCTTCGGGCAGGATGACCATTTTAGCAATATTAATTTTTCCCATCCATGAGCATGGTATATTTTTCCACTTATTTGTGTCATGAAGATGGATATTTTTCAAATGACCTGACTATCAAAAGGAGTGGTGAATAGGCCAAGCACAGAGGATTTTTAGACCAGTGAAACTTCCCTGTATGATACCTTAATAGTGGATACATGACATTATGCATTTGTCCAGACCCACAGAATGTACGACACCAGGAGGAACCCTATGGTAAGCTATGCACTTTGGGTGATGATGTGTCACTGTAGGTTCTTAGTCGTAACTAATGTACCTTCTGTTGGCAGAAGTTGATGAGGGAAGAGGCTATTCATGTTGGGGGGCAGGGGGCATACGGGAAATCTCTGTACCTTCCTCTGAATATTTTCTTTAAAATACTGTTTTCAAAAAATGACCTGATTCTACCAATCAGCCCCAATTTGAGGGGTGAAATGGAAGGATGATTCACATCATTTTCTTCCCCAACAGTGGCAAAGGCAATAATTGCTATGGGGAGGTTGCTTTCTCATCCACTGAAAGTGTTGGGATGTGGGGTTAATGTTAATATTAGTGGACAGGATTTCTTAAGATTAATGGTTTGAAAATTAAGTGGTGAGAGAACCTGCAGACACATTCTGGAGTTTAAATATAGACTTGTGGCCTAATGTGACAGCATCACTGTTATCTCCACATGGTAAGGACAAGAATTTCAGAGGAGTGTAAATGGTAAAGTGCTGACACAGCTGAGCTGGCCGCCGGCACACAGAAGCAGCACATGACAGTTTACTGTCTGTGTGGAAACCCACTTGAAAACACCTCTAACTCCAGTCCATATCCTGAAAGTGATCATGACGTCTCATCCGTAAGTACTGCCCCCAGGTTGCAGAACTGGTACTCGGGATGAAGTATCTTCCTTAAATAAAAATGATTTGAAAAGAATTACAAGCTGTCACTTTGGGAATAGGATCAAGGAACTTTCCCACGTATCTCCTGACAGTTAGGCTACAGCTTATGCCATATGGAAGCGTATAGCCCTCAGTACTGACCAGTCCTCTGAAGGCTACCTACCCTGAAAATCTGCACAAGACTGTGAGAAGCTAGGTAGTTAGTGGTTAAGCAACGAGCCCTGGAGAGCCCTGTTGCACTAGCTGTCAGACTGCAGGCAAGTGACCGGATCCCTCCAGGCCTCAGTTGCCTCATCTGTAACGGTCTGTGGCAGCAGAAAAGGCAGTGAGCATTAGGTGGTTTAACTGATGTGAAGAACTCTGAGGGTGTTGGGGCAAAGTAATTGTATGTGTTCATTAGTATCTTTACCTTAAAAGCCACTGTCCCACAGGCAGAATCTGCAAACGAGATGGACAGGACATTCCACATTGCCCTTAGGGTCCAGGACTGGTGTCCCCTAATTCACAGCCCCACTCCTCTGCCATGAGCCTCCAAACGCTTACTTGCACTGTTTATTCTCCAAACTGATGCCCTTTTAAACATCAACACAGATTGTAAACCCTTGGATGGCTCAGTATCTTCCTTTTCTCAGAATCCAACTCTATGAAGGGCTGCGTGTGTGGTCCTTCTCTCCACCACCCCGGGGCCTTCGCACTGAGCACTGCCTACCCTGCCAGCACCTATCAGACCGTCTTTTCTGGCCCCTAGATATTTGGCTTCTCTGCCCCCTTAGGCCTCTTGAACAGTCTTTATCTTGAATTATTTTCCTCCAGATCCTCACACAATTCATTCTCCTACTCTGTTGGCTCAAAGTGACACCTCCCCAGGGAAGTCTGCCTCAGTCGTTTCAAGGAACCCTTGCCCCACAAGCACCGAGTTACGCCCATCTTCCTAAGTGTTTGTGCTTTTGCTTTATCTTATTTTTCTAACTTCTGGGTTGGATGCTCAGACTAGGAACATTCATGTTCTCTTTCCTGTGCCTTAGTGCAGTGTTTTAGGTTTCATTTGGGCCACATACATCCTCTTAAAACGCATCCTTATAATTTTGGTTCGCTTGTCATTGAAACAGATTTATATTATACTTTCTAACCTATAGTGCATCATACAAACAGGTGCCAGTGTTTGAGGACATTTCTTAAATCGGAAAGATGCTGCCCATGTAATCTTGAATGAGATGGCTCACAGAATGCTTTCTAGATCTGTGCTGTTCGTAGGGTAGCCACTAGCCACATGTGGCTCTAGGTATCTAAATCAAAATCAAAATAAGTAAAAAATTCCCGTCCTGTCACACTGGCTACATTTCTAGTGCTCAGTAGTCAATTGGGGCTTGTGGCTACCCTACTGGACAGACTAATATGGAACATACCCATCAGCACAGAAATTTCAACTGGACAATACTGATCTAGACTATGATCCCATTTAAAAATAACATATATTACATCTCATACATTGTATGTACGTATAAAAATAGATTTTGCAGGTTTTCCATCTATCATATTGATCAAAAATTTTATTTTTGTATAATATAATTATCAGCCAAATAGAAAATACTAAATATTTAAAATGACCTAATTCCTCAGAGAAATCCTTATTTGGCCACATTGTTTACTTTTTTAAAAATATCCTGCTTCAGAAATGGAAGTAACTGTGTCCATCACCAGGTACCAGAGAGGGCACTGTCTCTTCTGTGGAGATGCCGAGGGAAGTGCACAAGCAGGCGCTGACCATACGGAAACACCGACTCGCCAACCGAGTGGGTGTGCCAAGCGGGCACCGCGGTGGGGGTGGGGGCCTGCTCACATCCCAGGCACCTTCACCGCCCTCCCCGCAGGAAATGCCAAGGCTCCAGGAGCTCTGTGCCAGGCCAGGGGCCAAGAGCAAACAGATGCATGTATTTGTTATTAAAATACCACAATAACTATGAAGACTGGAAGATGATAACGAGTAACTCGGTTTTCACTGTCCTCGAGGCCCTGTGGAGGCGGGATCAGTCGGTGGGGCTGGGGGCGCCTTGTGTGCGCCTCCGGGTCTCCCAGGGTCCCGTGAACCACCCCCGGAGGCCCAGTTTCTGGAGAAGCTGAAGGTGTGTTTAGAAGGGCGTGTTTCCAGGATTCGGAGGCCAGGCTGACAACTGTCTCCACGCCCTGTCCTGACTCCAGGGAAATAGGACAGTCACCAGGGACGTTGGGGCCATTTTGTGTATTTTCTATACCTGAAGAGGAAAGATAAGGGGAGAGGAAAACAGAAGAAGCCAGTGTATACACACAAACACAGAAGTCAACTCTTTCCCACCTTTCCAGGCCAATATGGAACCAATACCTCCTGGGAAAAGTCGCACACTCACCAGCCCGGGCAGAACACGCCTGAGGACTCAGTCTTACATTATCTCAATCATACCTTCCAGGGAAGCTTATTGTTTACTGTGTGCCAGGCCTTAGAAAGACGTCCTCGAACAAAACCCACATTGTAATGGGGTCTCTAGACTTCAGCTGGCAAAGTGGGCGGTGGAGTTTCTTGCGAAGACCAGACCCAGGAAGAGAATTCAGGGACTTGGACGGACCCCAACCCCCCGGAGCCTGACAGGCCCTGGAGCGGGACGTGCCTCCTGCGTCCCAAGAGGAAGCTGGAGTGACTCCGCCGTGAGTGGCTCAGGAGGCCCCGGAGCCGCCGGCTGATTACCTGGAGCTCTTTGTTTGACAGAGATTCTTGTCCTCCGTCTTGGCTCTGTCCTGAGACCTCAGCAGCTTCTCTTTTCCTCTGGACATGGAATCTAGACCTTCGATTTTGAAACCAAACCTAGGAGGGTAAAGCAAAGAGAATCAACTAAAACACGGATGTCATGCAGGCCTCACCATTGCTTTTTCCTTAAGGCAACGAGGAGAAAGAAGGGGTTTATTTTAGGCATGATCCCAACATCACTGACATTCCACATGACATTTAGGAAAGTCTCATCAGGCCTGAAGATAAAGCCCAAAATTCTGAGCCTCACATCGAGTACCTTCACGGCCCAGTGAAGGTTTCATTGCCTGAAAGGACCCCAAGCCCCTCATTACAAGGGCTCGTTTTTCCCCAAAGGGCCACTGCAGCTCTTCCCTGTGCCTGGAATTCTCTTTCCACCTTTTTTTCTTCCTCTCAGAAATGCCTGTTTTTCTTCCATGATTCAGGATACAGCAGTATCGGTTTGGGGAAACACTTTTTATCCCACAAGACATAATTAATTACTCGCTTGTGCCCGTGAATTATACACATATGCACATTAGACATGTATCACATGCACTCGTGCACACTCTAAGTTATAATGATACAACTCTGAAGGTCACACCCGCACATGTCCCTCGCCGTCCACAGTCCCCGTTTGGTCTCCATTGAAGCTGCGAACAGAATCTGCGCGGGTCTGGAATCCAAAACCGAACCTTGGAAAGTCACGCAGTGTCGCTGAAAGGTCCACCTCCTTCCTAGAGGCACACACCGCCCTGTCGGGGAGCAGCTGGCTTGGAAGGGCTGCTCAGAGGCAGCCTCGGGTCGTTCATACACCCACATCAGAAATCCCTTTTCCATCGGCCCTGCTTGTGCTGCCGGTGAGAATTAGTCCCCCGCTGGGGAGTCATTCACAGAGCTCATTCTTTATGTACCTACCCATATCCGGACTTGGCAAGGAAAACAACCTCAGCTTTAAAATCTGCGAGAACACCAGCCCAGAGGATATTAGGGCGACCCCACCACGACACGACACCACTGCCTTCGGATTCTTCTCTCCCCGCTCACGCTCCCCCTTCTTCTGGAATCACACCAAACCGCTCAAAATCAGCCTGCCATTTAAATCCATCTTCACTATGAAGTCTGCCAGCCTTCGGTGGATACGTTCTCGTCCACCCAGTCCTCCCCAGAGCTGTGGGGTTGCATGGAAGCTGCCTCTTAGATATCTATCCGGGATGTCTCTGACCTCCGGCCCCATGGGGCGCCTTATGTTCCCCCAGAACCCAGTCTTCCCGCTGGACAACAGCTGCCCCAGCCGGCCAGCCACACTGAGCCGCGCACCCGCCCGGCAGTCTCGTGTCTGTCCCCTGTCCCCGTCCACGACCTGTCTGTGCAGAGGCTGCCCCTGTACATCCGTTTGCTCCTCAGACAGACCTCATCTCCTCACCATCCTCACGACCTTTCACCTGTTGTCAAACCTGTGCTTGTGTCCAGAGTGGAACCATTTTTCGCTCTGGAGGAAGAGCGGATCTTAAACCCCCAGCATGCTCTCTCGGCGCCTGAGGTCTTCTGGTGCCCGCCGCCCAAAGGATAAAGAACAAGCTCTTCTAGCACTTTTCCAAGTGGCTGATCCACTTCAGGAAACCTGCTCTCCGTTCGGCATGCAGGGGTTACTGAAGGGGTTACTCAGAGGTGGGCTGCATCTCACAGCTCCCAGGCTGCCGGAAGACGCCCACGCAAAGTGCCCCCGTGAGACCGTGATTCATAGGCCAGGAGCCACCACGCCGGACCTGGGGCCCCCATCCCTCTCCCCACGTCACCCTAGTGCTCCGGCCCAATTTTTCTGGAGGCCACAGGACTGTCCTGGGGACCCCAGTCTTCCACAAATGCTGCCCTTGTTAACCCCTCCTCTGCCAGTCGACTTGTTTTACAAGCCCTGGGGACGGTTTTCCTCTGGAAGCTGTTTCTGACCAGGTAACATCTCTGTTCACACCAAACACATCCACTGATTCTTACTTGTCTGGGAGGTGATCTTCGTGCGCCACTTAATCACATTTTGAAACTGTTGATTTATTTGCCCATCTCCCTTATTATTTTCTAAGCTACTTCTGTTCCTCAGTACATCCCTGTGTAGTACTGTTCCTTGCACACAGTAGGTCCTCAGTATGAATGCAAAATAAAAGAGAAAGGAAAAGGCAGAGAGGAGAGAGAGGGGCAGCAGGACATGCGTCAGCTTCGCGCTGCAGGAGGGGCCCCGGCTCACACGCACGCACGCAGGCGCCCCTCCAGCAGAATCACGGTCCGTCAGCCGCTGGGTTCCTCTGAGCTCAATGCTAATCCCTAAGGCAGACATAATAATCCGACCTCGCGGGATCATTAGAAAGGCTGAGGGATACGGCAGATATGAAGGCTTTAGCCGAATGCCTGGCTCATATCCAGCGTAAAGGAACATTCATTCTTCATCATTCATTCAACAAATTCTTACTGAGTGTCACGTGCCAGGCACTGCTGGGATCACAGGAAGTACAACACTGATCCTGGCAGATGGGTAAGAGCTGAAAGGGCCGAGAGAGTGGGTCTCCGGGCTCCTGGGGTGGGACCTGCCAGACGAAGTGACCTTCCCCTGAAAGGCCCTGGGGTGGGGGGGTGCCGGGGGGCCACAGGCAGCTGGAGGCCAGCACGGCTCCCCTGCCAGACATCGCATCCCCAGCAGATGGAACAAATTCCTTATCACTTACTTGGACTCTTGACTCTGGAACCCCAATTTCTTGAGCAAGTTGCTCTCTGGAATCAACCCCCGGATAAGGGTTTTTCATAAACGCCTTGATGAGGGTGTGTAGCTGGGAGGAAGTGTAGCTGGTCCGACACCGTCTGTCTTCCCTGCCTAGGGTGGGTGTGAGATTGAAGGTCAAGGACAGTGTAGCACAGACAAGCAGGGGCTCTGTGCCCCTTCCTGCCCTGATCACAGTGACTGCAGTGGGGGATGGCGGGGACTCGATAATAAGGGGGAATGTGATAACCACATCGTTTTCCTTGTGAAACCCTCATAAGAGTGCATATCGATGATACCTTAATTTTGAAAATAAATAAATAAATAAAAAGACTGAGGGTCAAGGAACATTTTAGACATCAGTCTACATATTCAGACAAGGAGCCCAGGCACGTCCCACCACCTCCGTCTAAGGTGGAACCTGCTGCCCCTCCTTGGGGAGCCGTGGCCCAGCCGTCCCCGGGGGAAGGCTCTAGAGGGGACAGAGTATTCGGCTGGGTGGCTGCACTTCGGTGAAGGAAGGTAACCAGGGCGCCAGTCTCAGAATGCCCGTGGACTCCGCGGGGAAGAGGTCCCCAGGGCCTGTGGAGCCTCCTGCCGGCAGGAGGCCCTGAGCGGGAAGCCCCGAGGGCGAGAACGTTCTCTCCCCTGCAGAGGGCCCGGCTGAGCTCCAGGGCAGGCCCGGGGCGGACTGTTTACTCTGAATCTCCTTTTCAGCGCCGTCTTGTTCTCGGCTTGATTCCAAGGCCTTCTCGGGCCCCGATACTCTCTGGGGTCGGTACCTGGCTCTTCGATTCTGAAACCAGATCTGAGTGAGGGAACAGAATGGGGAATGAGACGCCGTCGCTCCTCTGCGCCCCACCACCGCCTTTCTCCGGCAGGGGTGGCCCTCGCTAGGCCCACGCCCAGGGCTGTGCCCGCTGCCCTCCTGTCTTTCACACCCACCGCCCTGCCCAGTGCGTGGCTTGGCATCCAGCACCTTCACCGCCGGTGCCCACGTGATCCGCTGCAATAATCTGTTTAGGTGTATCAGCGACGCTGCGATTCTTTTTCATTTAAGAACCAGCTCAAGCACTTGCTCCTCTCGGGAGCTGTTCCCACCCACCTCCTCCCCACTCCTGCGAGCCTTCATCGTCCCCATGCGCGTCTGCGAGACGAAGGGCGACATCCTCGTGAGCTCACTGTCAGTCAAGAGGCTCCTCACAAAGCCCTTGGCACGCTGGCACACGACTGGTGCTCGATTATCGCCCCCTCCCTGCTTCCTACTTCTCTCGGAGAATCTCGGAGAACTTGCGACTCACCTGGATTCTAGACTCCTCAGCGTTGATTTCTGAGGCAAGTTTTCGTTTGGTTGCATAGCCTGGGTACGGTTTTTGGTTGAACGCACCGATGAGGATTTTCAGTTGGTCTTCTGTGAATTTGGTGCGGCTGCGCCTACGGTTCATTGCTGCCGACTCTGTGTAAAGATTGGGAGAGAAGAAGCATTTGACAGGACAACCTAAACATTCAAAGCTCAGGTCCAGGCGAGTCTCTTCTTTCCTCTTCTTGTTTGGAATACACAGAACCCCTAGGAAGGATCTCTCATAATTATAAATTTCTTAAACCCACAAGGGTGATTGCTGAACTTCTCCAGCAAATCTGAATACTGTGAGCCGGGAGGCAAGGTCTTCTGTTTTCAAAAACTGTTTAAAACCAATGTGCTCTTTTCACCTGCATCAAGAACAGGGTGAGTCAGGAAAACGCATGTGGTGCATCATTACGAGAATGAACCCACAGAAAATGAAAAGCATATGATGCAGGTGCCATTATGACCCTTCCAGCTTTCTGGTGAAAATTCTACATACATATTCATTCATTTTTAAGTCCATTGCCCTCAAGAGCAGATAAACAGGATCAGTTTCCAAATATTCTTAAAAACACTACAGGGAAATAAAATTAACTGAGAAATTCCATGCTTTCAGTAGAACCTTGTGATAAGAAATAAATTCCACATTACATGATATTAAATATTCAGCCATAAGAAGAAAACAAATCCTACCATTTGCAACAACATGGATGGAGCTAGAGGGTATTATGCTCAGTGAAATAAGCCAGGCGGAGAAAGACAAGTACCAAATGATTTCACTCATATGTGGAGTATAAGACAAAGAAAAAACTGAAGGAACAAAACAGCAGCAGAATCACAGAACCCAAGAATGGACTAACCGTTACCAAAGGGAAAGGGACTGGGGAGGATGGGTGGGAAGGGAGGGATAAGGGTGGGGAAAAAGAAAGGGGGCATTACGATTAGCATCTGTAATGTGGGGGGGGGCACGGTGAGGGCTGTGCAACACAGAGAAGACAAGTAGTGATTCTACAGCATCTTACTACACTGATGGACAGAGACTAATGGGGTATGTGGGGGGGACTTGGTGATGGGGGAGTCTAGTAAACATAATGTTCCTCGAAAAAAAAATAATCTCTAGAGCATCTATGAAAAACTAGGCACTGTGAACAAAATAGATAGGGTGGACAGCCAGGAGATAAAAAGCAAACAAGTAAAATATATTAAAATGTCGGATGCTGAATGTTTCCTGGCAAGAAAGAAGGCAGGCTGGAACGCAGAGAATAAGGTCCCAGGTTTAAGTGAAGCGGCTGCAGAAGACCTGCCTGCAGAGAAGGTGACCTGAGCTGACTGGAGGTCACTGGGGAGGGGGCCCGACGGCGGTGGGGTAGGGGCACCGCAGGAGGTGGGTTTCGGCGAACCGCAGCCTGCCTGGCCTGTTCAAGGTACAGAAGGTGGCTAGCAAGTCTGGAAAGAGGAAGCGGGAGCACATGAGGTCCTAGACCTGGGGGGGCCGGGGCTGGGGCCGGGGGGTCTCCTAGGGCCACGTGCCTTTTACTGTGAAGTCACAAGGGCTTCTACCCAGAGAGAAGACATAATCTAACTGACAGTTTAATCAAATCCCAGAGGCTGCAGCATTGGGAACAGACTGAATCGGGGCCAGGTGATCAGTAGGCCGGTTAGTCGGGAGGACATGTGGTGACCCAGGTGGCAGGGGTGGTACTGGGCCAAGAAATAGCCAGACACCTAGAATATCTGAGAGAATATCCTGGTATTAATGAAAAGAAATACTGTGGGATAAAAGGGAAAGTTTTATTTTATTACAATTCCAGAATTCCAGAATTGCCAGCCTGCTTAGACGAAGGTTATGAGAGAAAAACTGGGGTCAAAATGTTTCCCAGACGTGTGACGTGTGGCATAGTGACCCCCATTTCCTCAGCCAGGGAGCAGTGGGAGGGGGCTAGGGGGTGAGCGTCGGGAGGCCAGCTTGGGCCACGGGGAGTCTGAGGTGCCCCTCGAGAGACCAGCAGGCAGTTGGACGAATCTGAATTTCAGGAGCAAAGGTCCATCAGGAGAAATCTGGGAGCTCCTGGAGTCCAAAGACGTTCTGGTCTCTGAACCTCTTGCCTCCGGAGTTTCCTGGAGTCCATCTCCAAGTTCTTCCCACCCGCCCTTCCCTCCCACCCTCCGGCCTGAAGCCAGACTTTGTCCCGTTCAGTTGTGGAATGCCTGCATCTCTGAAATCCCCACGGTGCCGACGCACCAAAAACAGCATCTGCTCCCAGTTGGCCAGAGGCTCTGCCCCCTGAAGCCCAGTACAGTGATATAAAAGCTTGCACAGTGGAATTCCCACACCTTCTGACAAGCCCACTAGGACTTTTAGCCCAATGTCCTCCCCAAACCAATGACACCAAAACGGAGGCCGGTGTCTGGGGCACTTACCACTTGGAGCGTTTTCCTGGGCCATGCTGGAGGAGACGGACGCCAGAGGAGGGGGACTGTCCTGCCCAGAGTCAATCAACCAGCCTCTAGGCTGGTTTTTATGCAATCAGCCCAGATGGCCCCTCCTGTTTATTTAATCACTGGCAATGGTTCTCAAGTCCCACCTTACTAATCGCATTGTTTCGTAGAGGCATAGACTCAATCTAGGAAGGACTAGCTAGGACTCCCTTTCTTCCTTTAATGAAGACTTAATAATTTATACTAACCTGTACACCTAACCCATCACAAGAGCATTTCTGAGCACTCTTGGATTTACACATCCTTTTTTCAATCTTTATTATATGCACATACACTCTTTCTTTAATTACTTTTGGTGTTCTTCACTTACGTTTTGAAGTGGTAATCTTTTCTTTTTTATTAAAAGGGTTCTTTTCATTAATACCAGGATTAAGGAGAGGCGAATAAGGTCGTCACCTCCCTCAGGAGCCATTTAAGGGGGGTGCTGAAAATTGCATGGTCAAGATAGGTAATGGTTGAGTGAAACTTAAAAATATTAATTGCATAAAGTCTGCATTTACAAAATATAAAAATTGTAAATAAAAGCAGAATCCTACCGTGCACTGCAGGGGTTAAGCAAGTGCGGGCGGCGCAAGTGCGATGGAGAGGATCTCTCCTTGCAGTTTCTTCTCAAGGTCACTGATCAGTCTTCTGGGAAGTTGACAAATTCTTTTAATTGTTTATAGCTGCAATCCACTGTACTGTGGGATAAAAGGGAAAGTTTTATTTTATTACACATGTCTGATTTATAAAATATTTTTAAGACCAATTAGGTGAGCAATACAAATTTTATTTATTGATACATATATTTGGCTTTTAAGAAATAAAATTTGTTCAGTTATCAGACGCTTTCTGAAAAAAATTTTAATGAGAAAAGTAGCGTATTTACCAAGAAACTTTCACACTTTATTCACTCACAACTGTGACAAATTGTATGTCACTCACTTGTATATAGGAGATCTTTCTCACCATTTTTTTCCACCAAATTAGTCTGGAAACCTAGAGCATAACTTTCTGCTATTTGTATTTACTAACATTTCTTTCTCTCTTTGATACAGATGTTTCTATTTACCTGTTCGGGTGTTAAATATCATAAGTTTATGACTTAGGTGAATGGATCTATATTAAATATGTATATCACATTTACTCCAATTAAATATTATATTTATCTTAAGATACATGTTTTAAATCTATATGAAACATTTAGAAGTATATATATGGCATCCAAAAAGCCAACTAGTTCAATGTTCAAGAAAAGAAGAAAAACGAGTGAAGAAACGGATCCAGAGCTCTGATGAGCAGTTACAAGGTTGACTAGAAAAACGGTAGGTATCCTAGATACTGAAAATGATCAAATATCCAACACTGATGCTATGAAAGCAGAATAATCAAATTCAGAGTTAAAGATTCTTTTTCTCATATGCAGAATATAATGGAGAGATGAAACAGCTAGATTTTCAGACCCTGGTAAACATGACTATGAGTAAGAAACCAAGAAGACACTGTTAGAAATCAGTTTGAGCAATACGCCACTAGAGCTTCCAATTTCCCATAAAATATAAGTGATTTTACTATAAATGGATGTGAACCAGGACAAGATGCAGATTTTAGAAAATCTACTCTACAGGATAGGCAACGATTTTCAAAACGCTGGTGTTTTAAAAGTGTTCTAAAGACAAGCTGCTTCATCACGACTGGGTTTTTACCCCAAAGAATCTTTGTCTTTATTTTGTTTTCCATTTACAACTCAAATTCACCTTTTCTACAGAGTCAGTCTGAAAGGACTTCCCCATGTTACTTTATTTTTTAACTCAGGAACATGTTACTTTATTTTTTAACTCAGAGTTACTTTTCTGATTTTTCTACAGTATCATATCTCACATATCACCTGTGCAAAAGTTAACAGTATTGGGGACACATAAAATCTTCTACAAATCCTTAAGAATAAAACATACAACCAAATAGAAAAATCAGCAAAATATATGAACAGACATTCATTCGTGCATTTTGCATTGATTTATTGAGTTTCACCCGATGATGAAGTGAAATCAGATTTCAGAGTAAAACATATACGTACTCAGAATAAAAATTAAAGAAAATATGCAAAATTTAATAGAGTCTTTATCTGATAAAACTGTACATATGGCTACCCGCTGTCAGAGATGAAGAAAGCCAGGTGTTAGTTAAAGCAGTGAAAACAGATTTTGTTCACTAACTAAGCACACTAGGAGAAAGAGAGGAGCTCCTTCAGATTTGCACAGAAATGAGAGAATTTTAAGGGGAAGGTGACGCAGGGTGGGGACAGACAGCAGGGCTCCAGAGAACAGGGAAGAGAGAAGTTACAAACATCGGAGAGTGCAGATGTGATCGGGCCAGCTGGGTATCAGAGTGAGGATTCTGTCCCCCCGCAGAGATGGGGGTGGGGGGACAGCGGCCCTCTCCTTCTGGTAGATGACGTTTCAAAGAAATGGCTTTCCGGTCCTTGGGAAGGACACTCCTGAGTTGTAGGAGATCCACATGCCTCCCAAAGGGACAGGGGGGAGGTTCACAGATGCAAGCCCTTTTCGTGTGAACGCTTCCCGAGGGAGGCGGGGGGCTGGCTCAGGGTCGGGCTAGTAAATGCTCCTGGCAGTGTTGGGCTTTGCCGGGCAGGCCTGGGGTCGTGCAGGCACACGGCCTTACACTACTGGCAGCCGTGCCCAGGCGCGTTTGGATGTCCCTGAAGGGTGGTGGGCAGAAAGTCTGCTGCGAGTTCGGCCAGTCTCATGGCCTTGCCTTGTTCAAGGGGCAGAGCAGATCTCTCTCCTAAAGCAGGGAGCACGTGCCACGCCAAGGCCCCCCCAGAAAGGGCCGGCTTGTGGCTTCCACCTCTGTGACCCGGGAGGATCCACAGCGGCAGCGAGCTGACCACGGAGGCCCAGGACTGTCTGTGGCAGCAGCGCGACGGTCCCGTAGGGCCAGTGCTGCACCTCAGAGACAAACACGTGACCGTCCAGACTGACGAGGAAGCCGAGGCCCTGATGGAGCCCCCAAGCCATCTGGTAACTGGAAGAAAACCCCTTAAAAAGAGAGTCAAACTGATTTTTTTTTTAATGACGGGCGTAATAGCTGCTTCTTGGCATGAGCCTCTGCTACCAGTGTTTTCTGACGGATTTCCTTTCA